AAGTCTTTTGGTACAAAAATTCACGTTCTCTCCCTATATATACCCCATAATCGTTCAACTACCTATAGAGAGATAATCAGAGATGGTAGGACTGCTGGCTTAACTCTGAGCAAAAAGGAAAGTCAGTGGAAGATTTTAGTCTGGAGTTTTATTTATTTTAAAAGAGGTGGCTATCATTCTGGCTGTTGAAAAGAGCCCGAGCAGGGAAGGGTCAGAAGCAGTGAGGCAAGCTACCATAATCATTCAGACAAGAGTTAAGGTGACTGGAATCAAGGTGGTAGAAGTGAAGCTACTAAGATTTTGGAAGTTCCACCAACAGAATTTAAAGACAGGGTACAGGGTACCAGAGAAAGAAGAATTAAGGACCATGATGAGACTTTGTTCTGAGCAACCGTGAGGATGTAATTGCTAATAACTTAGATGGGGTGAACCAGGTTTTTGGTTAGGGGGAATATCAATCAATTCAGTTTCCAACATGTTTAAGTTTGAGATAAGCCTAGAGTTCAGGAAAGATAAATTTGTGAGTTGCTAGTATGTAAACCATGAAGTTATGAGATCAGATGAGTTCACCAAGGAAGTGAGTATTGATGGAAAGGAGCAGAGGTCAGGACTTAGTCCTGAGGCATTCTCATATGTAAAGCTCCAGAGAGGGAGTAACCAGTTAAGGAGTCAGAGAGTGGGCATAGGAAAAAGGGAAGAACAGAATTGATATTGTGGAAACCAAGTGAAAAAAAAAAAGGGTATCTCTTAACACAGCAAATATTCATTAATATCACTGAACGATAGAGCTAGGGGTCTTGGAGATGACCTTATAGGTAAAAACAATAAGGCCAAGAAATTCAGTAAGTTGCAAAAAGTAAAAAAATCAAATGAATGACAGAAGATCTAGTTAGATAGATGTATTCTATACTGTTCAATGTTTAACAATATGGAATGTAGATCAAGAAACTAGATCCCAAGAGATGATATACTGAGGGAGAAGCCTTACACAGATGTGCTATTAGAATGAAAAAACAAAACCAGCAAATCTTGCCTGTTTATCCAGTTACTAAATAAACCAAGTCGCCCACACACTGAATGTTGTCATTCCTGTCTCACCTTGTTCAGGTTCCATTCTTTCCCTTCCTTAACAAATCAAACACATTACTACTATTTTCTCCCACTTCAATGTCTTTATGTTCCCTGCCTGACTGCAACCTGGGCACATGCCCTGATGGGAAATTGAACCAGTTACCTCCGTGTTCATGGGTCCACGCTCAACCACTGAGCCACACCAGCTGGGCCCCAATGTCTTTTTATACCTCTTTGTCTTAGTCTTTTCAACCAGTTTCAGAATATGCCAGACATAAAACAATTCACTCAATCCTGTCAACAGCCTTATGAAGAAAGTATTAACCCCATTTTTTTTCAGATGAGTGAACAGATAAGGCACAAACATTAAGTCAGGGGTTCTCAACCTGTGGGTCACGACCCCTTTGGGGGTCGAACGATCCTTTCACAGGGGTCGCTTAAGACCATCGGAAAACACATATTGAATATATAATTACATATTGTTTTTGTGATTAATCACTATGCTTTAATTATGTTCAATTTGTAACAATGAAAATACATCCTGCATATCAGATATTTACATTACAATCCATAACAGTAGCAAAATTAGTTATGAGGTAGCAACGAAAATAATTTTATGGTTAGGGGTCACCATAACATGAGGAACTGTATTAAAGGGTCACGGCATTAGGAAGGTTGAGAACCACTGCATTAAGTAATTTGCTCAAGACTACACTGTTCAGTAAATGGCAGAACCAAGATTTGAACATTTTGAACATAATGGCTCCAGAGTAAGAAAGTTAAAAAAAAAAGAAAAGAAAAGCTTCTTGGGAGAGACCAAGATGGCGGCATAGGTAAACACCGCAGACTGCTGCCGCAAACAACCACTTCAAAAATACAACTAAAAGACGGAACGGACATCACCCAGAACCGCAGGAAGGCTGGCTGAGGAGAGACTCTTCAACTAGAAGGAAAAATAACAGCACACCGAGGCTCAGAGGAGGCGCAGTGTGGAAAAAACTCAGGTGCGGAGGTGCGCGCGCAAAGCGGGCTGGTGGCTGAGAGCGCGGTTGTCGTTTTCGGTCAGGGGGGAGTCTCAGACTCTGAGCTCCAGATACGGGCGAATCGCTGGGGACTCGGACCCAAACGGGAGAAGCGGGAGTGTCTGGCATCAGTTGGAAGGCAGCTTTCCCTCCGAGGTTTGCAGCGGTTCCGGGGGTTCTGAGAAGCAGAGCCTCTGGGAACGGGACTGAGAGGGGCCATAACCGCTCCCTCCCCCCGCCCTGTTGAGCCCGCCCCGCCCAAGCCCTGCGCAGAGCCATTTGCCAGATCGCCTCAGGCAAAGGCTAGATTAGCACCTCCCCAGAGGACAGAAGTTTTCCGCGGCAGACACAGCTGATTCACACAGCCAGTCGGCCTGGTGGTCAAATCCCTCTAGTATTAACTACAACAATCAAGGCTCAACTAGAACAAGACTGCGCACAAAGACCACTAGGGGGTGCACCAAGAAAGCATAAAAAATGCGGAGACAAAAAAACATGACAGAAATGGAGGATATAGAGCTAAAAATCGCAATTTTGAGGGCTTGCAAAAATGTGCTAGAAGCTGTCAATAAACTTGAGGAGAGAGTCACGAAAACTAATGAGACCCTCGATGCTATGATAAAGAACCAACTAGAAATTAAGCATACACGGACTGAAATAAAGAATATTATACAGACACCCAATAGCAGACCAGAGGAGCGCAAGAATCAAGTCAAAGATTTGAAATGCGAAGAAGCAAAAAACACCCAACCGGAAAAGCAAAATGAAAAAAGAATCCGAAAATACGAAGATAGTGTAAGGAGCCTCTGGGACAGCTTCAAGCGTACCAACATCAGAATAATAGGGGTGCCAGAAGATGAGAGACAGCAAGATATTGAAAACCTATTTGAAGAAATAATGGCAGAAAACTTCCCCCACCTGGTGAAAGAAATGGACTTACAGGTCCAAGAAGCGCAGAGAACCCCAAACAAAAGGAATCCAAAGAGGACCACACCAAGACACATCATAATTAAAATGCCAAGAGCAAAAGACAAAGAGAGAATCTTAAAAGCAGCAAGAGAAAGAGACTCAATTACCTACAAGGGAATACCCATACGACTGTCAGCTGATTTCTCAACAGAAACTTGGCAGGCCAGAAGGGAATGGCAAGAAATATTCAAAGTGCTGAATACCAAGAACCTACAACCAAGAATACTTTATCCAGCAAAGCTATCATTCAGAATTGAAGGTCAGATAAAGAGCTTCACAGATAAGGAAAAGCTAAAGGAGTTCATCACCACTAAACCAGTATTATACGAAATGCTGAAAGGTATCCTTTAAGAAGAGGAAGAAGAAAAAGGTAAAGATACAAATTGTGAACAACAAACATGCATCTATCAACAAGTGAATCTAAGAACCAAGTGAATAAATAATCTGATGTACAGAATGAACTGGTGATTATAATGAATCAGGGACATAGAAAGGGAATGGACTGACTATTCTTGGCGGGGAAAGGGGAATGGGAGATGCGGGAAGAAACTGGACAAAAATCGTGCACCTATGGATGAGGACAGTGGGTGGGGAGTGAGGGCGGAGGGTGGGGCGGGAACTGGGAGGAGGGGAGTTAGGGGGGGGAAAAAAAGAGGAACAAATGTAACCTGAACAATAAAGATTTAATTAAAAAAAAAAAAAAAAAAGAAAAGCTTCTTGATTTTGAGAAAGAGAGGAAGGGAAAGGGAGATAGAGAGAGAAACATGGATTAGCTGCCTCCTGCCCCCTACTGGGTATTGAGCCTGGAACCCAGGCATGTGTCCTGACTAGAAATCAAACCTCTAGAGCAGGGGTGGGCAACCTTTTTGTGAGTGCGTGCCAAAACCAGCAAAATCTCTGACTCAAAATTCTTCTGCGTGTCAACCCTAATTTTTTGAGAACATGTTACGCCTATTTGATATATCTTAAGGTGTACGTATGTGGAAAACCTTGAAGAAATAATAAAATTCATTCAAGCGACAAAAACACAGTATATAATGATGAAAAATACATTAATTTTTTAATGTATACATGTTATGTAAAATTATTTATTTATCTAAGATGCACCTACACTGAATTTATCTGAAAAATAAAAAAGTCGATATTAAGAAAAAAATTGTAAATGGAAGATTATAAGAGAGGGTTTTGCGTGCCAGCAAAAGTTACTGGCGTGCCATGTTTGGCACGCGTGCCAGGAGTTGCCCACCCCTGCTCTAGAGGCATGGGACAATGCAAAACCAACTGAGCCACACAGACCTGGGTCAGAGTAAAAACTCTTAAAACACTCTGTTAAGATAAAATCAGACAAAATATGTGAAAGTACTATAAATTACTGTGCAAATGAAGATATCACCTACAAAGGTACTTCTTGGAATCTGAAACTTAAACTGTGCTCAATTAACACAAATTTTCACATTTTTGTTGGGTAACACCATCTAAGCCAGAGCTGATTATTTCAATACTTTTTTTTAGTCTTCACAAATATCTTCAAGACAACAAAAAATCAAATTTGCCAAAATAACAAATGAAGTCCAAGACTTTTCTCAAGAGGTAAGCTAGCATCTGACATTACTTAATAAGTCTGTATTAAAATATAGACTGTGATCTCAATTATAACACATTTTCAATTATGTACTTAACTACATAAATATTAAAGTCATTGCCCAAATAAGAGAAACTGTAATACATGGTGGGCAAAAGTAGGCTTACAGTTATGCATATGCAAAACAGTTTATTCTTGTATTATTTATTGTATTATTTACCATATGAACTATAAATCTACTTTTGCCCACCTCTGTATATACAGCTTATGCTTTGAAGCAGTACTCATTTAACACTCCAAATATAGTCTTGGAATTTATATGGGAGAGGGGAGAAGGTAAACTGAAAATCTCTTACCATTGATCTTTCAGGATATCCAAACAAATAGCCCCTGTGACAGAACTAATATTAGGATGCCATATTTTAGTGATAAACCGGACCTAAAAATACAAAGCATACAAATTTTTAAGTAACAGAAATAAAACACATATAGTTTAAATAGAATTACAAGAGAAAGAAATCCTCATATTTAAAAAGAGTGCCCATTCTTACATCATTTTGCCTAAGAGAAAGGAGTGGTATAGAAGAAAAAGCACTGAAGTAGTAAGCCAAATGTTGTCATTGACATACATTCTTTTTAAACCTTTTAATAAATGCTCCGCCCTTAAAGAAACCCAACAATTACTAGGCGTTCACAGATAGTAAACAAACTTTTTTAGTGTGAAGTAAGGTGTAGAATAAGTTTGAAGGAAAAAGTGAGCAAAATCAGTAGTAAATGGAAGCACAAATAGTAAGTGGCTGTAAGATTGCTCCTAATTTTTCTGTAGTAATTTTTTTTAGCAAATTCTTTTTAAAAAAGAATTCAACTGCCTATTATTATGTGCCAGGCATGGAAGAGACACTGAGGCTTAGAGTTTTAACATACTGATCCAAAATCAAACAACTAGTTAGCAATAGAACAAAGTACAAACTCATAAACTCTGATTTCAGATTCTAAGTCTCTAGTCTTAGAACCAATACATAATAAAATTTTAAAAATCAAAAAAATCAACTCATTGCCCAGCCGGTGTGGCTCAGTGGTGGAGTGTCAGCCTATGAACCAGGAGGTCATGGTTCGATTCCTGGTCAGGGTACATGCCCGGGTTGCAGGTTCAATCCCCAGTGTGAGGTGTGCAGGAGGCAGCCAATCAATGATTCTCTCTCATCATTAATGTCTCTATTTCGCTCTTCCTCTTTGAAATCAATAAAAAAATCAACTCATTAATATATGCTCCAAATCTAAGCTAAGGAAAGAGGCTAAACAACTTGCACTTTTTTTCCTTATGACTTGGATTTGTCTATTCTACTTATCTCTAACTTCCTCACCTACTTACTCACTAACATATATGCCATTTGAAAAAGCACTTTAAGTCACTAATGGCTTCAAAACACCTAAAACTAATGGACACTTTCCATGCCTTGATCCTTTTTTTATTCTTAAAATAATTTTAATGATTTCAACGATATCTACTTCTCTCCATTCACAGAATCACCATCTCGTTATAGGACAGTGGTTCTCAACCTTCTGGCCCTTTAAATACAGTTCCTCATGTTGTGACCCAACCATAAAATTATTTTCATTGCTACTTCATAACTGTAATGTTGCTACTGTTATGAATCGTAATGTAAATATCTGATATGCAGGGTGGTCTTAGGCGACCCCTGTGAAAGGGTCGTTCGACCACCAAAGGGCTCGCGACCCACAGGTTGAGAACCGCTGTTATAGGAGATCATTCTTCATCTGGGTTACTGAACAATTTGCTAACTTTACTACCTTCAGTTCTGCTTCCTACAATCCATTCTCCACATTGAAACCAAAGAGAATCCTTTAAAACAAATCTGATTCATACCACTACTCTATTTAAGGCCCTTTAATGGCTTCTCATTCCTTTTGTGCAAGCCCACATTCATAAAGTGGCCCTACCTATCTCTCAAATCTCACTTCTACATCATATTCCATGCATTTGCTCCAAAAGTCATATTTTAAAAAAGTATGATTTTTTCTTTTTGCCTTGGGGCCTTCACACACCTTTCTTTCTCTCTCCTGTCTACTAGAGCATCCCAAATATTTAATGTGCCTCATACTGAATACACATACAATTAACATAATGACAATCCTGTTATTACAAGGCTAAACAGTATCCCTCTCAAATATAGTGCAGGTCAAGTAAGACAGGCTATACAGAGCTTATGTACAACAAACATTTCTTCATAACAGATATAACCTCAATATTCACATCTTAAATTTTACCACTGAGTTCAAAATATAATTCTTATGCCAGAATTTCAGTAATTCAGACATTACAGCCTTTTGTGACTTTAAAACAAAAGTTGGTTCAAAATTATATTGGAAAACAGAATTTTAAATTACTACTGAAGATGTCAGAAGGTTTATGGTTTAAGCAAGTGAAATAATACCTAATGGTGCCTAAAACAGAGCCAGGGCTATACAATCACTTTAAAGCTATAATAATGACTTTAGAGGTTAATAATGAAACACTTTTATTGAGAGCATTTAAGTGCACAACTTCATGGATTTCAGTATATTCACAGAGTTGTGCAACCATCACAATAGAATTTTTTTTACCATTTCGCATCTCAAAAAGAAACCATGTAACTCTCATCAGCCAGTCCCCATTCCTCCCTACCTCGCAAGTCTGAAGCAACTACCAATCTATTTTTGCCTCTATGAATTTGGTTCTTCCAAAGTTTCATATCAATGATTGCCGGACCTCTTTTATTTAGCATACTCTTTTCAAAGCTCATCTATCTTGTACCACATATCAGTACTTCACTTCATTTTTGTCTTTTTAATATATTTTTATTGATTTCAGAGAGGAAGGGAGAGGGAGAGGGAGAGGGAGAGGGAGAGAGAGAGAGAGAGAGAGAGAGAGAGAGAGAGAGAGAGAGAGAGAGAGAGAGAGAGAGAGAGAGAGAGAGAGAGAGAGAGAGAGAGAGAGAGAGAGAGAGAGAGAGAGAAACATCAATGATGAGAGAATCATTGATCAGCTGCCTCCTGCACACCCTCTCCTGAGGGTCGAGCCCACAACTGGGCATATGCCCTGGCCAGGAATCAAACCTGGGACCTTTCAGTCCACAGGCCGATGCTCCATCCACTGAGCCAAACCAACTAGGGCTTCATTCGTTTTTATAACCAAATAACAGTTGACTGTATGGACACACTACATTTTATTTATCCATTCAATTGATGGATATTTAGGTTGCCTGCACTTTTTGACTATCATGAACAGTGATGGTATAAACACTTGCGTACAAATTATTGTGTGCATATATGTTTTCATTTCTACTGACTAGAAACCTAGAAGTAGAATTGTTAGGTCAAATGATTAAAACTCTACTTTTACCATTTTAATCAAAGTATTTCCAAAGCACCTACCAATATTTTACATTCCCACTAGCAATGTATGAGAATTTCAATTTATAGAGAAAATTTAAGTGTCAATGCTACTGCATTTAAAAATGATGTTACATGTCCTGTCGGGTGGCTCAATAGTTGAGCACTGACCCATGAACCCATCACCAGTTCGATTCCTAGTCAGGGCACATGCCCCAGTTGTGGGCTTGATCCCCAGTAGGGGGCATGCAGGAGGCAGCTGATCAAGGTTTCTCTCTCATCAATGTTCCTATCTCTCTATCCCTCTCCTTTCCCCTCTCTCTAAAGCCAATAAAAAACATATTTTTTAAAAAGTGATGCTACAGAATGAATACAACAGATGACTTCAAGGACCTCTTAGGGTGGTGATCAATGGTTAATGCTAGCTAATATTTCTCAGTGCTTACTTTACACAGGCACTGTTATAAATATTACCTTTCATTAAATCTCAAATATCATCAGTTATTAAATACACATTTTATGTACCCTTTAAGAAGAAAATTCTGCCAATTAAATTATGACATACCATCCATTGAAAGATGTGTCCTGATTTCAGAGATGTTAAAAATGTTTCACAGAATTATTGGAATTTAATTCTTTACATGGATTAACTCCTTTAATCTTTATAATCCTATGAGAGGACTTTATAAATGAGGAAACTGAGGTAATAGCAGTTTGCTTCCTAAAAATCACAAAACCAGTTAAAAAGCAAAAGGAAGATTTAAACTCTGGTTGACTGTTCTTGGTAGAGCCATATTCACTGAGAGATTTTGTCCTTACTCCATCAGGATCATGGAAATAGAGCGCATGAGCTTTATGAAATTTTTCTATTGAGTTCTAGCCTAAATTCCCTCATTTATTAGGACTATTATAAAGACTATTTCCGAAAAGGCATATAAAATTCTTAGTACAAAGCAAGTGATAGCTGCTACTATCATTATTCAATAGTAAAAATGTAGTGGTTGAAAGTAGTCTCTCTTGAGGTCTTCTTTTTTTACTTATTTATTTTTAATTTTATTTATTTTTTACAGAGAGGAAGGGAGAGGGATAGAGAGTTAGCAACATCGATGAGAGAGAAACATTGATCAGCTGCCTCCTGCACACTCCCTACTGGGGATGTGCCCGCAACCAAGGTACATGCCTTTGACCGGAATCGAACCTGGGACCCTTGAGTCCACAGGCTGACGCTCTATCCACTGAGCCAAACCGGTTAGGGCTCTCTTGAGGTCTTTTATTTCTAACTCATTTCCATTAAAAAGATTTAGACTATGAAGTCATCCTTATCGCTAAATCTTCTTTACTCATTCCAATGATAATACTGACAACCTAGATTGAATCCAGTGGATGGTAACCCAGATGAAGATAAAAATTAACCAGGATGAGGATAAAATTAAGTCACAGCCCTGGCTGGTTTGGCTCAGTGGATGCAGCATTGGCCTGCGGACTGAAGGGTCTCTCTCAGGTTCAATTCTGGTCAAGGGCACATGCCTGGGTTGAGGGCTCGATCCCCAGTGGGGAGTGTGCAGGGGGCAGCCGATCAATGATTCTTTCTCATCAGTGATGCTTCTATCTCTCTCTCCCCTCTCCCTTCCTCTCTGAAATCAATATATATATAATTAAGTCACAAACATAAGATGAAAACAGTGAACATCTCTAAGTGGTCATATTGAAATTTTGTTTTCTATTTTTTTGTACTTCACTATGTAACTTTCCTGTACAACGAACTACCTTTATAATAATAATAATAATTAAAAAAAAGAAATGAAAAAAATAATTTGTGTGAGTTCTCCAACATCTAGGAACATCAAGTTTTTCCAGACCTAGAATTTAAGCCATTGTCAGATGCACATCCTATTATTCCTGCCTAGAGCCATTATTAGCTGCCTGAGTAAGCTTGCTTTTCATCATAATTCTAGAAGCTGTCTTCCATTATCTGAAATCTTGTTCACATTAAATTTTCATAGTCAACAACTCAAAACACTCTAATTTTAATAAGCACTAAAATGTATGTATTAATTAAATGGGCCAAGAGAAATATTTTAGAAGTTCATGCACAGAAATAGGCTTACAATACCTTAGGGGGATTAAATGGATATGTTTCTGGTATTTTTATCTCTAGTTGATATCTTCCTCCTAAAAAATGGGGAGAACAGAAAGTTAAGAACACTGCTCATCTGAAACATGTAAAGCCAAATATAGTGGTAGAACTTTCAAAACATGTAGTATTTTATATTCAATTACAACAAACTCATTTTAAAGTTGCAACCCAAAAAGGAAATAATCAAACGCTTAATTTTTTAATTTAAAGCATACAGAATACCCATTTTATACAACTATATTAGCTTATCAGTGAATAATAGGGCTAGACATAGATAAATACATTAAACCCACAGACAATCCAATGCCAAAGATTTAATTGGGATAATTAAGCAGTACAGATTCTGTCTTTTGTTTCTTCTAGTCCACACTGACAAGAGTTGCTAAATAACTGGGGGGTGGGAGTGGGGGAAAGAAAAATAGAAAGCAGGGAGTTTTAAAGGAATCAATGGTACAGAGGTAAAGGATATATAGATTATGCTATAAATGGAAAGAATCTATTTCTAGCTGGTTCTCTCATAAGCAAAAATGTCCCAAACTTTTAAGTTGTGCCCTAAATTAAATGTTAACATTGCTTGCTAAATTTTTAAAACAAAATTCAACAACAGGTACACCTAAAGACAAAACTATTGTCTCTAAATTGGTGTACAAAATACAAAGCTTTACAAAGAGGTTGTTCTAACCAGTAATATATAAATAGAAAGCAACATTCTGTTTTGAAGTTATCTTGAGCAATTAGCAGCTAAATACATATTTTAAAAAGTTTATCTAGTTTCCCATACCTGGGAGAATAATAACAGCCTCTCAGGAAACTCTAAAGGGTAAAGTCTTGCACTGGACGAGAAGCTGGATTTGAATATTAACTCTAAAGAACCTAATTCTAAGATTCATTAAAATAGAACATTCACTATTTGAAAATATAGCAAATAAAACTGTGCTACCAGAAAATTATGCCTGGGATTTGCTTCAAATAATCATGGAATGATCAGATCAAAGACTGGCCAAGAGTTGAAAGCCTTTAAAGCTGGCTGATGACTATATGGAGAATTCATTATACCATCTGCCTTCTATAGATATCTGAAATTTTCCATAATAAAAAGTAAGCCCTAGCTGGTTTGGCTCAGTGGATAGAGCGTCAGCCTGTGGACTGAGGGTCCTGGGTTCGATTCCACTCAAGGGCACATGCCCGGATTGGAGGCTCAATCCCCAGAGGGGGGCATGCAGGAGGCAGCCGATCAATGATTCTTTCTCATTACTGATGTTTCTATCTCTCTCTCCCTTCCTCTCTGAAATCAATACAAAATATATTTTTTTAAAAAAGTAAAATAAAAACTATGTGCTAGAAGCAATATTAACTTCAAAATTCCATACATTCAACTCTCAGTATATCATGAATTCTCTCAGATCCTCCTCCTCCACTGTTAGAAATAGGTGAATGTGGATCTGGGAAAAATAAAAGAGCAATTCACTTGGTTCCCGTTTCTTCAAGCCCTTTTTGGTTCCAATTCTTCTTTTCTTGCTAATTCTTTTTAATAGAGTCCCAAAGTAACTGATACATGAGTAGAACTATATGCCTGAATCAAAAAGCATATGGCAGCAGTGAAATATACAGGAAAGTAGTCAAAACAAAAGAAACAAAAAATAAGATAGGTAAGAGATGAGTACTTGAAGAAATTTTGTGAATACAGAGATAACTCTTTATGTTCAGTTATAAATGCTAGCTTCAAATACAGGCATAATAAATCTGGCCTGAAAAATATGTAGGTTCTTTTTCTTTCCTAAGAACCTTACTTTTTTTTTCTAATTTATTTCCAGATTAGTGTCTCTATAACCTTTTATATAAAGTTATTCCTTCATGAATGTCCAAAAACAATCTATTAAGAGTAGTATGAAAGCCCAGATATATAAATAATGCTGAATCCTAGAGTCCCCAATCCTATTTCTACTCCACATCCTATTAATATGCTCTGTCTTGAATTACTCTTTTTGTCCTGAATTATTATCTGATAACTTTCAATATCTAATCATATTTGGTATACATCAGAGCAACACAAAGGAGCTTTATAACTACACTGGAGGCCCTGTGCACAAGATTCGTGCACTGATAATAGGGGGCGTGGCCTGCAAGAATTGGCAGATGTGGGAGTGCGGCTCATCCCTGTCACCAGAGTGGCTGTGGACCCGCCCTTTAAGGGGCTACTCTTGCTGCGGGAGCAGCCGCTCATCCCGGTCAGCTGAATGGTGCTCCCACTGTGGAGCGCACTGACCACCAAGGGGCAGCTCCTGCATTGAGCATTTGCCCCCTGGTGGTCAGTGCATGTTATAGCAACCAGTCATTTCACCATTTGGTCGATTTACATATTAGGCTTTTATTATATAGGATTATTCATATTATAACAGGTTTCCCTACAAAACATTTATTTTTTGAATAACTTAATATTAAAATTTTATCATTTTTATATCAACTTAATCCAAAGGCATGGTAAGGGATGAGATTTTTTAAAAATATCAATAATTCTATAAATTCAAAACAACTCTTAGGGGAAAAGGCTCAAGAACTAAATTGTTCCTTTCCCACTGAGCCATTATGAAATGAGAATTAAGTAACACGTATAATACTGTAATTTTTCCATGGGTGTTCTTCTTCTCAATCTGATTACTTTTAACACTGCATAAAATAGCTGCCTCATTATTTAACAATGATTATAAACAACTTAACATTCCACAGGTAAATTTTGGCCTTAGTTATTAAATTGAGATTTTTAAAAAATCTCAAAAACTAGTGAGAGCCTGCAATAAATATTATCGAACTATTTACCCATGTTTATATATTTTTAAAAAGTAGTATATGTTTATGCCTTCGAATGATGCTTTTCCTAAACAAAGTGAATACTTCTCTGCAACAGTTTTATGATAAAAATATAATTTAAATTAATCTATCTTAAATATATACCCCAAAAACATTAAAAGTAATCTTATCAAATATTTATGTCTCATATAATGGCAGCAGTGGAAATAAGCACTTAAAAACCAACCACCAAACTTGTTTCTAATTAGCAAAGAATGTTATATTTATAACTTAATCATCTTACAAATAGTGTCTATGTCCCAATTTTTTGAATTTATCTCCCTCTCTTAAGGGTTGCCAAGAAAGTAGAGAACATTCTGCCTATCTGATTTAGTTCAGGAAGTACCTTGTTTATATGTATCAAACTACTGAAAGAACTCTAGAATGATGTTACTGCCCTATTATCTTTAAAACATCTGAACCTAAAAAAAGTAATTCAAGAATATTTATAATGTCTGCCTTCAGAAAAAAGCTAGTATAGTCATCCCTCAATATCCACAAGGGATTGGTTCCAGGACATACAAACTTCCAAAATTCGCAGATGTCCAGGTCCCTCACATAAAATGACATAGTATTTGCATATAACCTATGCATATCCTCCCATGTGCTTTAATCATCCCTAGATTACTTATAATATCTAATACAATGTAAATGTTATGTAAATAGTTGTTACAGTGTATTTATATTGTTCAGGGAATAATGACAATAAAAAAGTCTGTACATGTTCAGTATAGACACAACCACCATACACCTAACTACATAATATACATCAGCAACAATGTAACATCCTCCTCCCCCAAATATTTTCATCTGAAGTTGGTTGAATCCACAGATGTAGAACCTGGAGATATGCAGGGCCAACTGTATATCATATCATTACATACAACACATGCTATTAAGACAAGAACTTGATTTTTATAAGATAACAAAGATCTATTATCTAATGATTGTCAAAAGGACTAAATGAAAAGCTTCCATGAAAGCATCTGATTGAGGGCTGACATATAGGAGGCACTCAATGAATAATATAAAAATTTAAATATCTAAAAATGACTCATATGCACTAGAAAACAAATAAAATTTTATTATTTAAGATTTGGTAAGCTATACTAAAGACATTTTAGGGTCTTTAAAATTTTAAACAAAAACAAAAATATTCTAGTACTATATTAGATTCTTCTGAAAAATTTGAGGTAAATGTTCATTATAGGATTATAGAACCACAACATTCAAAGTAGACACAACCACCACTTCTAATATTCAGTCAACCCTGACTTATTAAAAAACAAACAAACAGAAAAGTGATGAGAAATATAGGCTTTGAAGTCAAAGGCTGAGACTGAAATCCCAGCTGTGCCACTCAGATGACTTTAGACAAGTTACTTAACTTCTCTGAGTTTAAGGTTTCTTCATCTATGAAACAGTGACAACTGTACTTACCTCATAAGATTTGTTATAAAAACTGAATGAAAAAAAGACATGTAAAACTCTAACAAGTAAAAACTCAGTAAGTGTTAATACTACAAATAGTTATATGATTTCTATTAAATATCTGAAAGCCTATTATAAGCAAGAACCTTGGTTATGCTACATAACCCAAATTTATATTCATTACTGAAGATGTGCGTAATGAAGAAATAAAAAGCTATAAAGCTTTTTTCTGTATCTTATCACCCAATTTCATGGTCTAAAGTAGCTAGAGACTTAGTCTGTGAACATAAAATTCAGCAAAGCTGCCTCTTTTTTATATATCTTGAAACAATCACTCAAAGCTTTCCTGAATAAAAAAATCAAGTATTTGTAATACAGCCTATAAGAAGACATATGAGTGAATGAAATGCTAAGTGACAAACAGGGGAGAGGAATTTAAAAAATATATAAGTATTTTTTCAGTCAGAAATTTAAGGCAAGACTTATTATAGATACCATATGAAAGGGTAACTGAAAGTCTATAGTCCATATAATTTAGAGGCTTAACTTATACTATTAAATTCTAACTTATATAACCTGCAACTCGACTCTACTGAATCTATTTTGGGAAAATAAAAAAATTAGCTAAAATTCAGTAAGAAAAATAAGTCCAGATAAGTATCTATTTTTATTATTTAAAAATTGCTGTATATCCTAAGCCAAATGAAATTACCTTCCATTTAATTTATAATATATGCTTAAGTTATTCTGATTTAATGTTTCAGACAAGTTCTAATACGCACAATATTTTGATACAGAAAAAAGTACTTGCCTTCATATGGTGTGTCTGGAGGTCCTGCTATTTCTCCTCTTAATTCTGTAAAATTCTCATCTACAAGATCTACTTTAATTTGATTTTTGCTCGTCTTAAAAATAAACAGAAAATAAATGTTAGTTATATCAGCAAGAAAAAAACCTATTATAAAGTATTATCTATAAAAATTCTGAAACCCCCTCTTTCATTAGCTTGGTTATCTGCTCTAGTAAAAATAATAGTCTGTGTTTTTCTAGGACTTAACTAGCCAGTTTTAAGAATATTTAAAACAAAAAAAATAAATATTTTTCACTTCAATGTTTTCAATGAAATAAAACTACTTCGAACAATAGTACAATGGCTATTGACTTTATAGGAATGTTCAGAGAAAAACAGCAGACATTTATATTTGCCAACTTCATGTATGTTAGGTACAAAGTGATAAATCTATTCATTTGTAGACTACACTGAGATGCTATACCCCCAGGTTACATGGGCTCTATCCATATAAATAGAAAAATCAGTGTCAATAAAAGCCATTTAGGCTATAAGCTCTCACTTGAACTAGGCACAACTCTAGATATCTAAAATATCTAAATATCTGAAATATTACACCATCCACCCAGATGGTAAACTGAAATATTATGGTAAAAGCTCTAAGCATCTAATTAACTTCCCTTCCCTTTCCATAAAAATTCCTGAAGCCTAATTGCCTCCCTAGAATTGTCTAATGCCTTCTTCAATTTGTTTTTCTGCTTAGTTTACTTCAATGGCAACAGCCTACTTTTTTTTGAGATATAATAGCAAGTTTAATGAAATTAGATTTGTATGAAAGCAAACATTCTTCTTGGCTCCTAGCTCTCTGCTTCTCTGGCCAGCCTATCTGCCCTCAAAGCCACAGCCAGTCTCTCTCTCGCGCTCTTCAGTCTCAGAGTCTGTCTCTGGGTATCTCCACGGGTAACTGGTTGCCTGCAGAGAAGCTGTAGGCCACAGAGACCTGCTCCTGGGTGGCAACTGCCTACTTTCAAAACAGATTTTTATTTTAAATTTGTATACCATCTATCTATTCTGCATATTACACTACTTCTCAAAGTACTTTATTATCAATAGTAACACTTAAATCTCTCAATCTGTTATCAGAGCTGATCAATGGTGATTCAGAAAACCCTACAGTGGGATTCACATTAATGTTCACAAGTATCTGTCTGCAAATGGGTTCTCCATTTATATTTTCTGACCTATACTAGCATCTTACTGGTCTATATTTTTAATAGTTTATCCTCCCCTTTTCTCAACTTTTAAAAATATAAAGCCTTAATATACAAGTTATGTTTTCATTTTTTTGGTTAGGATTTCATATTTTTACCTAAGTAACACAGTATTATCTACTCTTATGAAAGTAAGCCTGGCAAGATTTCAAGAATAAATTTTTGCTTTTGAACCTACCTTCTTAGTCTTGTTTCCTCTCCCCACCACAATAGAAGATACTATTTTTACTCTTTTTCTATACTAAACTGTTTTAGTACAGAATGTTAAGTACAGAAAAAAAACATACAATTTAAAACCTAAATTTTAAAAGTTTCATGACTCCTAATTAATTTTATCTTTTAATAAGAGCGTAAGATAAAAAACATTATGCATTTCAAAATTAAACATCCTAATTAGTACTGGTTTGTTTACTATCATTTTTTATACTTGAGATTAAAATATTTCATATATTCCTGAAGATAATTTTATCCCCAAATTAAAATTAATTATAAATATGCATAATGAGAAATATCTTCCTGTGCTTTAAAAAAATCATTATCACCCTGGTATTTGTAGTAGAGGATTAAGTGTACAGTTTTAGCAATTATAAAATATTTTGTCCAGTATGCACAGCAATTAATGTTAAAATAAAAACCTAAGGCATTAGACTTTCACAGACCAATTTAAGGAGCCACAAGTATAACTACAGATTTCCATTTCTCTCCTAAGATTTCTAAGTAAAACAAGAGTAATCAGATCTTGCAAATCATCAATGCTTTCAAAGTTTCTACTGCTTCCCACAATATACTTTTACCAAAAAGAAGTAAATAACCAAAAATGTGAGGATACTAAAGGATAGGATTAAAGTTTGGAGAAAGGGAGGAGAAGGTAACAAATTAGAAAAGCTGCCTTCTAGATTACCCCCAATTGTCTTGGTTAGTAAAATGGTAAACCAACATTATTAATTTTTATACCCCGTCTTTATTTTTGTCCTCATTACCCCCAAATTATAATTGAGAAAAATGGGTATTTCACTCCATGAAAAATTTACTAGATTAGCTCAAGAAAATACAACCACCATGATGAAATCTATTATAAAGAAGCATTCTATATGATCTAGAGTAGTGTCTTTATTTACCGAGAAAATGGAGAATTAAAGACAAAGATTTTTCACAGCTTAATTTTTCCATTATACAATTATCCTTTATTACTACCTCCACAGTTTAATTCAAACATCCAATTATTCCACAATCCAGAACTCCAATTCCGTGCCCCCACAAACTAATTAAAATCCCACTTAAGACTGAGCTATAAGGAAGACATGGAAAATGGCAAAAGATGACAAATAGTATTAGAAAAGGCATGACCTTTGGGGTCAGATAGATGTGAGCTGAATCCTACTTATGCCAATTACTTGTGGTATTAATTCAGGTAAGTCACTTAACTTCTCTCAATTTTATTACTGTAAAATGAGAATACATCTCTCAGAATTACGTATATGAGAATATCCTGGATAGAAGTAGGGGATGTTGTTCCTCTAACAACATTACAAAAACCCTTGCTTTCAAAGCCTTCTTTTATAAAATGTATTCACAGTTCTGTTTCAGTCTAATATGAATGTAATTTCTAAAAATAGCCGAACCGGTTTGGCTCAGTGGATAGAGCGTCGGCCTGTGGACTCAAGGGTCCCGGGTTGATTCCGGTCAGGGGCATGTACCTTGGTTGCGGGCACGTCCCCACTGGGGGGCGTGCAGGAGGCAGCTGATCGATGTTTCTCTCTCATCGATGTTTCTGGCTCTCTATCCCTCTCCCTTCTTCTCTGTAAAAAATCAATAAAATATATTTTTTTAAAAAATGTAAAAAATAAAAATAAAAATAAAATAAAATAAAAATAAACAACAGGCTCCCTTTCCTTCCTTCGCTAAAGATGAGCACCTGTTACGTGCAGGCACAGGAAAGAGTGCAGCAGTGAGGCAACCATTAGTTAAGACTTTCTAGATGGTATGACTTCATTCCAGCCTTAGAGTGAAACAGGCATGCTGGCAGTGCCCCTACAAATAGTGTCCCTTTAGGTAAGCTGCTGTTCCTTGGGTCTTCCCAGCATGATCAAAGAGTCAGGTGTCTTTAAGGGTCCTAAGCAGGGCAGGGACATTGTCAGTTCTGCACCTTACAAAGTTCACTCTGAGGCTGGAAGAGAGGCCTGTCTGATGGAGCAGGAGGACCCTACCCCACCGTTTGCCTACTATTCCGCTCTTTCTGAGACAGTCTCTATGGTGAGGCCCAGAGTTCATTCTGGAGGATCCTGCAACCTCACTCTTCTACTTTACCATTGGCCACTTCCTTCCTCTTTTCCTTTGCACCCCAATTCATTCCCTTTTACTGGCTCTAGCAAAAGTATACTTTTAAAAGATCAAGTTTGAATTGAAGGCAGAAAGCACATTCTAACCTGGCTGAGAGTCGTATGCCCCTAGGGACATGGGAGCCAACATCAGAAGGCAGTCCATCCTCCTTTTCAGAGAACTGCCTATCATTATGGAAAGATTAACAACCTAGTCCCAGAGTCACCCACCCTATGCCACTCAACCCAGCCCACACTGCCTGTAACCTATAACTATTATACCTTGCCTACTTTTCCATGCTCCTAATTGTTACTTTCCAATGTAATCTTTGTCCTTCTACACAATATAAGCAGCTGGTTTATGGGGAGGGGTAGAGCAGATTTTTGTGTATGACCAGCTGCTCTCCCATACTGCCGGCATTATTGGAATAAACACTCATATATGAAAATTTTTTTTAAAAAACAGAATGTTATTCATTTTAATGACTATAACGACCAGGGAGGCTAAATAAGTCTTTTGGATGAAAACTTGAAGAATTGTTTGGTATCAATGCACTACTTTTTTTGAGGGGACAGCTGCAAAGTTGCTTTTCTATAATTTCTTCTCCCAACTCAGCTAAACACGAAATGGGACCACTGGTAGTCCTGATTTTTATAATTTTCCCTTGTGGCTCCAATGCATTTCTAATATATAAAAGGAAAAGAAATGAATAGAAGCTATACAGCTCCTAGTAAACATTTTTTAAATAAACTATTTTATTAAGGTATACATAATGTACGCAAAATAGCACGGTGCCAGGGCAGGAGGTCATTAGTCATTGCAGCTTGTCCTGATGTCTGCCATGGCATTGCTCCACCTGGTTTTGCTGCTTTTCTGGGCCTGGAGCTGAAACACAGCTGAAGCCTACATGTCATCTCCAGGGGTTAATACTTAAGGGAGTGGTCCTGCAAGGGCCTGTTGCTAGGTACAGGGCTCTCTGCCCTGGTGACCCTCTGCATTTGGCCCTTCGTTCCTGCACTGCTGATGCCTGTGAGAAATGCTCACCTGTCCGAATGCAAATAACAGACTCAGAGACAGAAGTATGGTGAAAACAAAACTTTTAATACGTTCTCGAGAGCGGGTGTCTGGTTGTACAGGCACATATGTAGTATCGATCACAGGCTTAACCAGTCCCTCCTCCAGTTCCCATAGGCTAAGTACTATGGGTCACCGGTTTCCTCATACATCGTTTCCTCGTACATCACCTAGGTCTTATTGTCTCCCATTGGGCCATTTAAAAAAATTGGGCTGAGGCCTTTTCTAGTTGTCTCCACCTCCCCCTGTCTAGTTGAGACAGGAGCCTGGGGGTTTCCACCATGATGCTGGCTCATGTCCACAGTTCTTTGTTCTTACATCCTCTTCCCTCTTCCCTACATTCTGTTTGCCCTGGGAAAATTCAGTGACCGGTTCCATTAAAAGTTGACTGTGTTGAAGGTGGATCAGAGAGGCTTATTTCCTACAATGCTGAACTGCCTACAACTGGAAGTAAAACTTACAGGATTTAGTTATTACATACTAAAAGTGTATGATAAGGAGGAAACAAGGATCACTCTTATAGTTTTGGTTTTCAACTGGGTGGATGATAGTATAATAAACTAAGATAAGGAAATAAGAAATTGAAGGGTCAGAGTTTGGGAAAAAGGGAAAATCAAATTCAATTTTAGATATGATGAAAAGAAGTATGAAATCTATAAAAACTCCAAGGGCCAAGTAGACTGTTAAAAACACAGATCTAAAGCTCAGGCATGGGTCTGTAGCAAAGATATGATGAGCAAAACAAACAAAAAAATCAAGAGTCGAGGAACCAAGATGGCGGCGTAGCGAGTAGACCTGTGCGTGCTGCCTCCCACAACATCATTGAAACTACCAACTATAAGACAAACCACCACCATTCAGAACCATGGGGAAGTTGGCCCAGTGGGAGTTCTACAACTGGAAAGAAAGAAAGAAGCGCAGTGAGACTGAGTAGGAGCTACAGAGGCGCCAAAAACAGAGGTACACAGTCACGCGCCAGGCGGGCTGCAACTGGATGCGCGGTTTTTTTTCAATCGGAAGCGGTTACAAACCCTCGAATCCTCTGGGCTTGCTCGGGGCGGGTCTCTGAGGCCCCAGACCCCACGGGGAGAGGCGGCACGGCCTTGCAGCGGTCGGAAAGCGAGGGAAGCTCTGGCGTGCGGCTGCTCGCCAGCACTGGGGGACGCGAAATCCCGGTGTCCCGGAGAGGTGAGGGGCCTCGGAGACGCCGCCATTGCTATTTCCTCCCTCCCCCCTCGACTCCCTGAGACCCCGCCCTACTCAATTTACATTCCCATCCAGGCTGTGCCAGAGGGACAAGAGGAAACGCTTGCGCTTTTACAAACTCTCAAATCCACTGAGCTGGTTCGGGCGGGATCATGAGGCACCAGACCCTACAGGGAGAGGTGGCATGGCCTTGCAGCTGTCAGAAAGCGAGGGAAGCTCTGTCTCACAGCTGCTCGCCGGCACTGGGGGACGCGAAGCCCCGGTGTCCCAGAGAGGCGAGGGGCAGCGGAGACGCAGCCATTGCTATTTGCTCCGCCATGGCGACTCCCTGAGACCCAGCCCTAATCAATTTACATCCCCATCCAAGCTGTGCCAGGTGCACAAAAAGACCCACCTGCGCTTTTGCAGCCTAACGCAATAAACTGCAGACTTCAACTGCTCGCACCCATGGGAGACACACTCAAGAAGCAGACCTAGGAGAACCAAGATGGCGGCGTAAGGAAGAGACCTGTGTGTGCTGCCTCCCACAACGACATCGAAACTACCAACTATAAGACACACAGCTATCATACAGAACCATGGGAAAGCTGGCCCAGTAGAAGCTCTACAACTGGAAGGAAAGAAAGAAGAGCATTGAGACTGAGTAGGATGTGCAGAGACACCAAGTACAGAGCCCAACCCAACAAACTGCAGACTTCAACTCCTCGCATAGAAAGAGCATTGAGACTGAGTAGGATGTGCAGAGACACGGCTTCAGATTTCAGCTCCTCGTATCCGGGAGGGACGCAATCCGGGGGTGGAGTCGGGTTTGGGGCAGGCCGGGGCTGGGCCCGGCTGGGCCGGCGTTGTGGAACCGCTGTACCAGCAGGCGCACAAACATGCCCACTGGTTCCAGTCTCGTGTGGGATGCTGGGGGACGGCAGACGGGCAGTCTGTGTACTTGGTGGAGGGCGTGGTCTGAGCAGGAGTGCTGGATGTTCAGCCACCAGGAATGCATGGAGATTTTGTCTGGCGGGGAGCCGCCCGGCAGGGGACAGAGGGCCAAACTTCGTGTTTCCCTCGTGAGGCTGGGACGGCCCTAGTGAGGTTGGGATGGCCCCGGTGAGGTCGGGATGCCCCCAGAAAGATCGAGACGGCCCCGGTGAGGTCGAGACGGCCCCGGTGAGGTCGAAACGACCCCGGGGAGGTCGGGAAGGCCCTAGTGAGGTTGAAACAGCCCCGGTGAGGTAGGGACGGCCCCGGCGAGGTTGGGATGGCCGGTGAGGTTGAAACGGCCCCGGTGAGGTAGGGACGGCCCCGGTGAGGTTGAAATAGCCCCAGTGAGGCCGAGACGGCCCCGGTGAGGTTGGGACTGCTCCAGTGAGCTTGGGACGGATAATGGGGACCAGTATAGACTGATGAACAGGGGTAGATTCAGAGGCAGAGCAACATTGAACAGACTGTCAAACTACAGTGGGAAGCCTGAGGAGGGTTTGGGGTGGGGGAATTAAGAGATCAACTGAAGGACTTATATGCATGCATATAAGAATAACCAATAGACACAAGACACTAGGGGTTAGGGGCCAGGGGAATGTCAAGGGGGGGGGAGAAAAGGAGACATATGTAATACTCTTTGTAATACTTCAAGAAATAAAAATTATAAAAAAAAAATCAAGAGTCTGTTACCACTGGTACAAAAGGAAGAAAAATGTTTCAGGGACAGAGTAGCTAGCTAATGTTGCTGAGAAGTTAACAATGATAATAGCAGTTCATACTTACATAGCACTTTATAAGCAGCGCTCAAACTGATTTAATAACCCACTTAATCCTTGTAACAATCTTACGTGTTTCCCAACCAGTAAACAGAGATACAAAGAGGTCTACACAGATATTAGTGAAGCAAGGTTTCAAAAATGACTCACAAGCCCTAGCCTATTTGCTCAGTGGTTAGCCTACGGACTGAAGAGTCTCGGGTTCGATTCTGGTCAAGGCCACATACCTCGGTTGCAGGCTTGATCCCTGGTCCCAGTCAGGGTGTACCTCGGTTGCGGGCATATCCCCAGTAGGGGGTGTGCAGGAGGCAACTGATTGATGTTTCTCTCTCATCGATGTTTCTAACTCTCTAACCCTCTCCCTTCCTCTCTGTAAAAAAATCAATAAAATATATACTTTTTAAAAAAAAAGAATTGCGCCCAGCTGGCGTGGCTCAGTGGTTGAGCATCAACCTATGAACCAGGAGATCACGGTTCGATTCCTGGTGAGGGCACATGCCTGAATGTGGGCTCAATTTCCCATGTGGGGCATGCAGGAGGCAGCCAATCAATGATTCTCTCTCATCATTGATGTTTCTAACTCTCTCTCCCTTCCTCTCTGAAATCAATAAAAATATATATATTTTAAAAAAGATAAGAATTGCATTGGACTTCTCTTCAGAAAACATGGAAGCAAGACGAGAATGGAGAAGAATTTAGTGTTGAAAGAGCCTGGCCACGGGGGCTCAGTGGTTGAGTATTGACCTATGAACCAGGAGGTCACAGTTCAATTCCTGATCAGGACACATGCCCGGGTTGTGGGCTTGATTCCCAGTAGGGGGGGGGGTGCAGGAGGCAGCCAATCAGTATTCTCATCACTGATGTTTCTATCTCTCTCCCCCTCTCCCTTCCTCTCTCTGAAATCAATAAAAACATATTTATATAATGAAAAGACAACCTACCTAATGGGAGAAGATATTCACCAATGATACATCCAATAAGGGGTTAATAACCGAAATGTAACTCATACAACATAACACCCCCCCCAAAAAAAACAAACAAACAAAACACAAACAAACAATTCAATTAATAAATGGGCAGAGGACCTGAACTGACATTTCTTCAAAAAGAAAATACAGTGGTCAACAGACATATAAAAAGATGCTCAATGTCACTTAGCATCAGAGAAATGCAAATTAAAACCACAATGAGATATTATTACCTCACACCTGTCAAAATGGCTATCACCCTATATAATAAAAGAGAAACGTGCAAATTAATCGTCCCTCTGTTACGCTCAAGCCACACTCACAAGCCAATCAGGAGCGAGTATGCAAATTAACCAACTAAGATGGCAGTGGCCACGGAGCTGGAACAAGCAGGAGGCTTGGGTTGCCCCTGGCGATGGAGGAAGCCAAGCTTCCCGTCTGCCCTGAGTGTCCCTCTGGGGGCTGGGAGCTGACATTCCACAACCACTACTGGGTGCTCAGAACTGCTGCACGCCAAAGACGAGGTCCATTACCTTTAAGAGCACTCAGGAAGGGACCCCTCTTTTCTCTTCCTTTTAACAAGAACTTCAAGTGATTCCACACATTCCTTTTCTAAAGGCATCCTTCAGACACACTCAACGTGTTCCGAATAAGTCTAGCAGTTTCCATTACCCGGTGTATGTTTGAGCAGTCCTTGTACATAGAGAATACAAAATCATGAAGTACTGAGAAATAGAAAGAATGCCTCCAATACAAGTCTCCCTTACTGTGCTCCAAACTGAACTCAAAAGTTTGCTTTCTTTTTTTTAATATATATATCCTATATAACAAAAGAGTAATATGCAAATTGACCCTAACAGTAGAACGACTGGGAATGACTGGTCACTATGACACACACTGGCAACCATGGGGCAGACGCTCAATGCAGAAGCTGCCCCCTGGTGGTCAGTGCGCTCCCACAGGGGGACCTCTGCTCAGCCACAAGCCAGGCTGATGGCTGCCAGCACAGTGGTGGTGGCAGGAGCCTCTCCTGCCTCCTTAGCAGAGCTAAGGATGTCCGCTGGCGAGTGGACATCCCCCGAGGGCTCCCGGGCTGCCAGAGGGATGTCTGACTGCCCGCTTAGGCCCGATCCCCCAGGGAGAGAGCCTAAGCCAGCAGGTGGACATCCCCTGAAGGGTCGCAGACTGCGAGAGGGCACAGGACGGGCTGAGCCCCCCCCCTCCGAGGGCACAAATTTTTGTGCCCCGGCCTCTAGTCCTATATAATAAAAGGCAAATATGCAAACTGTCCCCTCAGGTATTCGACCGACCGAGAGTTCAACAGCTCGATATGACATGCACTGACCACCAGGGGGTGGCAGGCCCCAATTGGGCTGGAGGGAGTCAATGGAGGTGGGGGGTAAGGGGGACATATGTAA